TATTAGATCTCCACAGTCAGCGAGACCAACGTGTATCACAGCCACAGTCTCTTTGTGTGCAGACGCTGCGCTAAATTGGAATCAGGGCACCGAGGGCACTTGTGTGCTGCCGTTGGGTGTTCGGCTTAGTGGATGGATCGTTTCTTTTACCTGGGAGGAGGTGGAGCGGGAGCTGTGTGTGTGTGTGTGTGTGTGTTCTCCTCTCAGTCATGCATCATGTTCTCCTCTGCTCCCAAACGAGAAAGAGAGATTCACCGTGGTGAGAATCAACTTTGTATTATACCAGAAACTATACAGTTATTATTAACTCTATATAATGATGGACGACATGCTAGCGACGACGTGCTAGCGACCACGCGCCGTCTCAATCGCCCCCTGCTGGCTGGCTGCGGTATAGGTCATTATCACCTCCTCCTTGTTAGCAGACGGGACGTGAACCAAACTAAAAAGTCAAAGTACACAGTGAATACATTTTTTACAAAGATGCTTTCTGTCATTTTAGGTTGTTCTCATCCATCGACTGTAAATAAAGACGGCGTCTCCACTTCCTCCCATCATCAAAAAATATCTCGGACATGGACGCCGCCATCTTCTGGGACCAGAACCCGTCCGGTGGCGACTGGGGGATGGAGCCGCAGTATCGAGGCTCCGCTGGAACGTGCTCTCGACCAACCGTGAGTCAGTCTCAGCTGTTAATCTTCTCTACGAATTTTGATCATCAGATAATTAATTAAAAACCAAAGTTATTAACGTCCTTAAAACGACACAACACACACATTGTTAACAGGTCACACAAGTAACAGGTTCATCAGCTTCGTGGCTCTCTCCAAGATTCAGATGCTAAATATTGTTGAACCCTGATTGGTTACGTTCCTTTTTTTCCCATAAAGCTCCAGAATAAACCTCTCGGGTGTTTGTGTGTTCAGGACCTTTAGGAAGTTAAAGTTAAAAAGGTGGAAAATCTAAATAAATGAGGAATGTGTGTTTCAGATGAGCTGATCCTGTCTTTGTCCTGAGTTGTGCAGAGTTACGTGATTGTTAACAAACTCCCCTCGTCCCAAAAGACTTGATGACATGATTTGGAGGCGGCGCACGATTCTAATCGCCTTCCCCTCCCCCCCTCGCGGCGCTGAAGTTCTCGCCCTGCCACAGGGAAGCCGGCTCAGACACTTAGGCTAACCGCCGGCTAATAGCTGGAACTACCTGGATCCCCTGTGTGAGTGTGGAAACCCGCTGAGCGCTGCTCATCGTTCAAAATCATATTAGTCCTGAAAGAAACATCAAACGCTGTTTACGAGCGTTGATGTTGAATCAAGTGTTTCTGGTTTGAACTGAATCTGAAGTGAAGACTTTAGAGAAGAAGGTGCTGCTTCTGAATCATTTAATTAAATTACATTTATTACACAGTATTCTTCATTTACGCCTCAGCACACAAACATGGAAGTGTTTAGAAGAAAGGTGATTTTGTGAAATCCTCACGTTCCTTCAGGTTCGTTCACTGTAAAAGTTTCCAGAGTTTTATTTTTCGTCCTGTGGGTGAAGTCACACTTTGTTTTCAGACCAGTGACTAATCCTCAGTAACACCAGTGAGTTTCTGAAGGAGCCTGTGTCTTGTTGCAGTCTCATGACTCACGCCGCCCTGGGCCTCCCCATCTCCTCCGTCCCTCCCCTCCTCTCTCCTCTCTCCTCCATTAAATCTTTGGAGGCGCAGATGTGGGCTGACAGTGGCTCTTTCTCATCACGCTCTGACACTTTTATGTGTCACAAGCGCTCAATACACATCGAGCAGACGCGTGCAGGGTCATCGCGAGTCCCAGCACCTTGGAGGGGCAGACGGTCCCGGGACCTGCCAATACTGTCGTGTTTTATACTCGTCCCCCGCTCGGAGTTTGTGTGCACGTGCATTTGTGTCCAAGGGAGGGTCACAGCCTCCAGGAGCTGTTTGCTCCCTGTATGGCCTCAGGTCAGTGTCACGGTCCTCGGTATTAACGGCACCAAGGGGCGGCGGCAGAGGGAACACGGCCGGCATGCTTCCCGGTGATGTTCTAACTGAATGCACAGAATCACGGAGAGAGAATCCTAATAGCAAACTTTTCCTGGAAGTGCCGATAAAGCAGCGGAAGGAACTTATCAGCGGCGTAAACTGAAAAACTGTAAAGGATTGCAAATGTCGTCCCGTCGAGACTCTGCAGCGGAGTCGGCCGCTCCGCACAAGTGTCTGGCAGACAGAAATCCTCCTGATCCTCTCTGCAAAGCATTTAGCATTACAAACACTGTTTACTTTCTGCTCCGCGCTGAAACCAGCGGACTCGATTAAAATATTTACTGATATTCAATGCACTGTTAGAACTGAGAGTGAGCACTCTGCGAGGGAAGTCAAACTGAGCAAGTAATTAGATCAAATAAGGATGAGTAACACTGAATGCTAAGTGGGAAGAATGTTTCAGTGAGAAGAGTTTGATAAACTGATCAGACACGTGAACACGTCGTGAACATGCTTCCTGGAGGAAGTGGAGACTTGTCGTCCATCTTTATTGTCGTCGTCGTCCCAGTTCCCTGAGTTCGCTCTGCTGTTATATTGGTCGACGCAGCGTCACACACAAACACATTAAGCCGTCGGAACAAATGCTTCAGAGGGAAATTGAGTTTTTTAAGTGTTAATTGAAAAAGCTTAGAGGGCGACTGCAGCAGTTTTACATACGAAAGTGTGTTTACAGGTTTCAGGAAGTAATCAGAGTAATCCACTCGCTGATGAGTCACAGCTTTGGTTTGTAATCTTCAGCTGCTTCCTGCCTCAGATTGTGTGACATCTTTTATCTGAGCAGCAACAGGTCTCTCTGATCACCTCCTCCTCCTCCTCCTCCTGCTCCTGTTAAATCTCTCTGTTTTACTTCCAGTGGTTTCACGAGCCGGCCTCTTCGTGTTGCTGTGTTTTTCGTCTTCGCGGCAGTGGGACGTCTCAGGTCAGAACAGAATCTTAATTTCAACCTCTTCCTGTTTGTTAAGCTTTCTGAAATGAACGGGTGAGGAGGGGGGGGGGGTCTCGGGGCTCCACACAATCAGAGCTTTGCCTGGTTTTAATGAGGAGCCTGTTTATTAAGTCCACTCAGGGAGGCTGAGCAAGTGCTCAGCATTTACTCACTAATTAGGAAGTTAAACAGTCCCTATTGAGGGCCAGAGGGGGGGGGGGGACACTTGGTAAATAATTAGTTTGAATTTTCAGAAAGAGAAAAATTCAAAGTCGAAGCAAAGAAGAATAAAAAAATGACGTGTACAGCATCAACAGGCCTGAGAGAGGAAGTCTGTCCAGCTTCTTAGTACAAGGACTCCACCTAGTGGCCGGAAGAGAAAACTGTGTTCTAACTCATCTAACTTTTGAGTGTGTGTGTTTGTTTGTGTGTGTGTGTGTGTGTGTGTGTTTGTGTGTTCAAAACAATCCATTACAAACAAGAATATAATAAATAAGTGATGTGGGAAATCGTGTCATAAGCATTTAGTTAAACCCTGGACTGAGAGTAAGGACGAGATGTGTCAGGCCTCTGCAGCGACGATGGAGCACAAGAAGAGAACGAGGTGGATCTGCGTTTAAAGGGCTCAGGATCTGGAGTCTGTTCTCGAGGCTGAAGCTTCAAGAAGAACGTGAAAAACATTTCTGCTGCAGCTCAGAGTTTAATTTCAGCTTCCTGGAGACTTTTAATATTTCCTCTCTGGACACATGTTTGACTTTATACTCCTCATACGTGGTGATATTTATATTACATGTGTGTATTTGATCCACGGGCTTCACTCTGACTGAACTATTTTGGTGTGTGACTTTGTTTTGTCCCTGTGAGCAGCAGCAGCAGCAGCAGGACAAGAGGATCGGGTGTCAGGCTGCAGAGCTGTCGGGGTGCAGAGGACGCAGGGGGAAGGTCGAGGGGGTTTAAGCACCGATCGCTTCAGTCGTGTTGCTGGAAAACACTTTCCCCAGATTCTGTGGCTCAGGCTCGAACACCGGAGGGAGAATGGAGCGTGTGCGGCTGATCCACGGGGAGTGAGCGGAGCAAGTAGAACGTGGTGGAGTTGGTGTTTGTGCGCAGCATGGCTCCGGAGCGAGGGCCCCTCCTCACAGCAGGGCTGCTGCTGCTGCTGGCAGGTCAGTGTTGGTGCTTCTATAGTGTTAACTTTATATATTGTGAGGTTCTATCTGACTGTTCATTACAAACATGATGTTTTGTAAAGAGGTGTGGGCGTTTGTTTCATTTCTAATCTTGTTTGTGTTGTTTTCCTGCTCCGCCCATCACCACCTTTATTATTTTACAATTAAAAACGTGTTATTCAGCATTTTATTTATTTATGGGTCTATAGATTGGAAATAGGAGGTTTTATAAAAGTGCACAAACACTGAACCTGAACACACTTTACACATATTATTTAACAATTCAAACTTTTGATTGAGTATTATTCAGTAAGACATAATACAAGTCGTGTAAAACTTTCCTGCAGAACTTGAGTAAATGTGTCACAGCACTGAGTGGACGTTCAACAGGTTTTGACCTGCTTGTGCTTGTGACCCGCACAGAAACATGTTTATGTCACAAAATGATTCCCTGGACAACTTTCACTCCGAGGCGAAGATGAGAACGTGAGAACCGGGTTCTCTGAGCAGAACAGCAGCAGCTGGCTAAACATGACGGACACATGTGATACTGTGAAAACATCATCGGGGTTTAACAACCATAAATATCTCCAGAGAGAATTAACGTCTCCAGTTGGATTCATGTTTGTTTCCAGGACACAAAAACCTGAAGGCTGTGAGTCCTGGTTTTTATTTTCCTGGACGGTTGAACTTGAACGTCAGATTCTCCACCAGCCAACACGCAGAGGACAGGTGACCCGTCCCTTCTTCTCCGAGGGTTAACAGACTACACACTCCGTGGGTTAGAGCCCAGTGAACACAGTCGGCCCTTATCAGGCGGCTGCAGCCCGGGCTTCTCCACGTTCCCTCGATTCTCCCCACGACCTGTTTCTTTTTTCCCGCCAGCTTAAGCTCCTCTGTCGCTGCAGCTTGTTGAGTTACATTCAGCTGAGTCCTGTGGGCCGGCGGCGGCGGCGGTGGTCTGCCTCCATGTCCACAGGCTGATTACACGTCTGAAGAACACAAATGGGATCAGGGACCTGGACTGCAAATTCAAATCTTTTCTCAGGGAAGGTTACGATGTAATGAGGAGGAAACGCTCCTGCAGGGATGAACCGCCGCCTGCACATGACCGTTTGTTGCACAATAAGACTGATTACGTGGAAGTTAACCGAGCAGATAAATCACCTCTGCACTGCTTTGTCGAATCTCTGGGATCAAGTAAGTTTCCTTCATCACTGGGCTCTTCAGCCTGATGCAGTCGACTCGTCTTAAAATAATAAGAATAATAAAAAAAGATCAAATACAATCAGGTAAACATTGAAGTAAAGCAAACAAAAAATAGAACAAAATAAACAAAGTACATCAAGTGAAATAAAATTAAATCATTAAATAAGTAAAATAAATATAATAATAATTCATGAAATTCCAAACTTTGTCTGTTCTTTTTTTTAACTGATTTAGTTTTTTCCTTTGCAGTTGCAGCTTTATGCCAGTAGAGGGTAGTAAAACTCCAGTGTCCTCGCTTCCTCGTCACATTTTTTACTTTAACCTGTTTTCTCTTCCTTCCTCTCGTTTCCTCTCCAGTTCTCGTCGTTCCGTCGGTGTCCGGCTGTAACCGAGGATTCTACGAGCAGATGATCAACGATTTCTGTTTCACCAAGTTCGAGTCGGACATGAAGGGACTGGAGCGAGGCCGGTGGTGCAGCTGGCCCGACACCATGGAGTGAGTTCAGACAGAAACAGATTCAATCATCAAAAACTCAATCATCACAATCTGGAAGCTTCCTCAAAGTTTGTTCAACATAATTTAATTTACTTTTGTGTTTGGTGAATTAAAAACATCAAAATAAAAATGTCCTTTATATATAAGGAGGTTCCGTCTCAACTGTTGCAGCCTTTTCTATATATCCATTATTAAAAATCCCCTCGTACAACAAACCGTCAGAATGCACCATCCATCAAGGGGGTCGAACACGTGAGGGTTTTTCCTGCAAGAGCCTCCGGACCACTCGCCCGTTCGGCCTCCAGCTACGCACACAGACACACGCAGCGGCCATCTGGAAACACAACCTCTCCCGCTGTGGTGCAAAGTGAAACAGCGAGGGCGCTGCCATGTTGGTATGCGTCTCCATTTCTCCGGCCGCCACCACAGATATATTTAGCTGAGCTCCGGTAACTCTACACTCGGCTTCAGTCCTGCACCGAGAGAACATTCAGTCTGACGCCACAGAGGAAATTAATCATAAATTAATCCTGCGATGCTTTTTGACTCCATTTGAATTCTCTTCAAATTGAATCCACTTTGCTTTGTCGCCCCCTGCAGGATATATGAGGGTCTGACAAACTGCAGCTACCAGGTGGCGCTGAGGATGGACTGCTATTGGCCCAATCAGGTGGTCGACCGCTTCTTCGTGCACGTCCATCAGATCTACTTCCAGGACTGCGCCCTCACCGGTCGACTCCTGCACGACCCGCCCGTCAGCATCCTCGCCCCCTTCATCGCCGTTCCCGTCCTGGTCACGCTGCTCATGACCGCCCTGGTGGTGTGGAGGAGTAAACGCACCGAGGGGGTGTTGTGAGGCCTTGAGGCTCAACTGGACTCCATGTGTGAGGTTGTGTTCTTCTTGTGTTGTTGTGAATACGAGTGTGAGCTGGTCGGAGGAGAAGACGCTGTTTGAGATTCCGAGGCTTCGGAGGCCGCGAGTGTTAATCAGCACCTGCTCCTGAGGCCCGAAACGATCTGTGAGCACATAAATAAGGAGGCGGAGAGAGGACGACGCCCAGAGCGACAGCGGTGACGCAGATGAACGACGAGGAAACAGAGAGAATGAGGAGCTCAGGGTCGTTTATCACGGAGAAGAAAACCAAACACAATCCTGGTTTTATTCTCGTCTCATCCTCTCAAACAGGTTTATTCACGATGGAGGAAACCAGATGTTCCCTGGAACACATCTGGATCCACTGAAGAATGAAATGATAAAAGTTTTAAAGACTGTGTGACAGAGCTCCCTCTAGTGTTCACTCCCTGTTACATTTCTTATCATTGTAGTTAGTGAGCTGCTGCGTTCCCACAAAGATCCTCAGATGGAGCCCCGACATCACACTCTGCTTTTTATTAAAGCTTTTACAAATGGTTCTCCTCCTCCTCTTCTTTTTCTTCATCTTCCTCCTCTTCCTCGTTCTCCGTCTTTTTTATTATTATTATTCCTCCTCCTTCTCCTATTTTTCTTCTTTCTCTTCTTCTTCCTCCTCCTCATCCTCCATCTGTTCTGTTTCTTCTCCTTCATCATCATCTTCCTTTAATGAATTGCACAAGTGGCTAAATTAGAATTTAAACTGAAAATATTTTTAAATAGTTCACACAGGTCAAGCTGTCTCCACACACACACACACACACACACACACACAGAGCAGAGGTGTGTGTAAATCTTCCCAAACTGATGGTAATTAAATACAATGTCATACTTTTTTTTTCTCCATGTAAAAGTTATGGCTCAGCACTTCCCTCCATATATTCTGCTTGCAGGGCTTTTCTGTCCCGTCACAGGCCGGGGAATTAATGGCATCTATATTATCAAAGCTGTAAAAACCTTCACCAGTTAAGCTTAGTCAAGCAATGTTTGGCTTTTTCTGATTAATGTCCGAGACTGTGGCAGCATTCAAAGACGACTTTCAGCAGTTTCTGATGGTGATAAATGAATTCCTGGGGGAGATTAGCAGATCTGAGATCAGCGGCAGGTGAAAGCAGGTGAGAGCTCAGGGCCGGAGGATGAAGATTAGAGCTGAGGAGGAGCTGGAGGTCGTTCCCACTCTGGAGGCTCCTTCAAAGAAACGCCTCCTTCATCGGGCCAATATTTCCTAAAATGATGGAACCAATCCTACACTACCCATAATGCAACCTTAGTTACCTCGACCTTCAAAGTGTTGGAGACGTCCCTGAACCTCAGCTCCATGTCCGGGGCCTCGGCCTCCTGGAGGAGCAACTGGTGAGTCGTCATGGCTGTGTCCCTCTCAGCTCCTCTGCTGGATTCTTTAATAGTAATAATATAATCAATTCTAAGGAGATATTCTGTTTAACAGTTCATTTCTCAATACATTTTTTTTTTGTAATTATTTATGCAGCACTTCTCAAACTGCTGTTACATGGTGGACAGAAACAGGGTTAAACCATTTCAGGGATTAAGATCAGGGATTAGAATATATCATCAACATAATAACTATACAATAATGAAACAGACGATGCATGTTGGTTGTAAAAAGTTGTTCTGGGACTTTTTAAAAGTGATTCCTCATGTAACGACACTTGAAAATACTAAATAGAAAACCTGACATATTGTACAGTGATGTCAAAGCATAGCTCCACTCACCAGTTGTTTAAGAGATTATGATGGAACTCTAAAGTTTGAACAAAAAGAAAATCACTTTTCTAAATCTAGGTTTTTTTCAGCTGCACTTGCCTAAAACGACCAGCAGGTGGCAGTAAATGCCCATAAAGTCCATTAGACTGGCTGAAAAGGAAGAAGCTGCTGATTTCACATTTAATTCAGATTAATAATCAAAAGATATTTGATGAGGTCATCAGTTATTCACCTTATTTCATCTCTAATAGTGTGTTTTATTTTCTGGCATCATGAAATAGTTGCCCAGGACTAAATTCTAGATATCAAGAGAAATGAAATGTGTTGTCATCAGTTACATTTACACAGAAACATGGAGTTGGTTCTTCCGCAGCAGAACTCGTTCTGTTGGTTGTGTATGAAACGATAGAATCTGGTTTCTCAGTGTTTTCCAACATGATTTAAGTTCCCGTAAAATAAATCGTGAACCTTGGCGAGCGGCCTGAGCTCCGTATTTTCTGCTCAATCAACAAGCATTGATCCTTCCCGCTCAGCTGATCAATATCCATTGTCAGATATGGTTTGCAATAGGGCTGTGTTAACAAAGAGTGGGGGTGGAGTGTGTTAGTGTGTGTGTGTGTGTGTGCAGGAACCCCAACCCTTCACCCCGCCGTGTTGCTATGTGCGGCCCTGCCTCGTGTGCTCCAATCAATCAGCTCTGATCAAACCTGTCAGCTGCTCTCGAGTCGCACACAAGTGTCCGGCTGCTGGAGCGTGTGCTGGTGAACACGCTGCCGAGGACGATGTTGTCGTACACGTGTTCGCTCACACATAACCAATTCATCTCCAGGTCTTATTACAGTGTCCTCACACACACACACACTTCACATCAACAAGCTATTAACAACACAAAGTCAATGGACTCAGACGAGCGGCCTCGTGTCGGCCTATTGCTTTTATGCAGATGCATAAAAATGAGAGTTTACAAATATGATCAAATCTGAATTATGACTCTGAAAACATGAGTCTGCAAATAAGATAAAATGTAAAATGTGAGTCTAAAATAAATTTGAGTAAATGTAAAGAATAAATCTCTTCTTACTGCACCCATCTACCACACTGAGTCGTCAGCAGGGGGCGCTGGAGTGCAAGTGAGTTGAGGCAGGTGCGAAGAAGAAGAAGAGGAAGAAGAAACAATGAAGACACGTGTTGATGTCGTGTTTCTCTTCAGGTCAGTGAACAATGACAAGAATCAAACCAACACACAACCAGCAAACTGTGTTAGCTTCAGTCAGGCTAAGCTAGCTGCTTAGCAAAGATGGCGGCTGTCCCCCAGTCTTCTGTTTCAAGTGAAGCTGAACGAGTGTTTCAGTCACATGAGTTTCAAACACAAATGAATCTCTGTCCATTGAAGCTGATGGAAGACACATTTGATTTATCGTTAACTTCAGAGATAATCTGTGTTCTGTAAATCTGCAGGTCAAGAAAAGTTCAAATCAAAACCTGAGAGAAGAAGATTCTCCTCATTTAACCTCAGAGGAAATAACAACGAAATAAAAACAGGATAAAACAAAACCACGAGGAACAAGACAGCCGAGATATTAGAATAAAGATTTGAAAGACTTTGACATTATTCAGTTCTGACGAGCTAAAGAGGAAGTGATGCTGTAAAACTTCCGACACATGTTCACATGAAAATAATCAGAATATGAAAGTGATCAGATGTGATTGTCTGTGATTCAGATGATCAGCTCACAAACCGGTGAGTTGACGTCACGGTGAGTTGACGCCGATGCTTCTGGATTTTCATTTGCAGAAATTAAAAACGTGTTGCACCACAGTGAACTTTTCTTTCTAACCTGTGAAACACTGTTTTTTCTTTCAGACATCGTGAAAGAAAAAAGAAAAAACCTGTGTCTGGGGAGCTCTTCCACCGACTGTGACGAGCAGAGCTGCTAATGCTGCGCGGGGAGTTCTCGTGAACAGTCATCACACAGGTAATCTGCAGTGGAATATCAGACACATTGACTTCTAAAGGGTTGGTTCTGGAGTAAACCAGTTTGAAAATGGGGTTGAGGCAGAATTTGTATGTGTGACTCAGGAAGAAGCTGAATATGAGAAGATGTCATTTTATGCACTGGGTGTGAAGAATACTCGATATAAGCCAAAAATAGGTGTGTGTGTGTCGTAGTAGATACCTGAGCTCTAAGACGAGCAGGGGAGGAGGATAAATATGGGTGTTGAGTGTAAAATCCCACTTCCCTGTGGAAACATCAGCAGGTGAAAGCAAATTGCAGCTGCTGGGTGAAATCCATGAATTTAGAAAAACCGTTTTGTTGCCATGCAATTTTCTGGGGGGAGAGATTTTGTGATGGCTGTTGAGGAGGTTTCACGGCCCCCGGGTGCTTAAACACACTCTTTGCATGAGGTAGCATGGAAGAAAGGGAACGGCCTCTGAAACTAGAGGAGCAACAACCGCTCGAATTCAGCAAGGTAACTACAAATATCCTCTGCAACCCAGTCCCGAGGTTACAGACTGAAGATCCCTGAAAACAAAGAAGCATGAGTCGTGTCGTTTTATTGTGGAGCCGTGCTCTGTGCCCAGCGGTGCTCGCAATCTCCGGCAGGATATGAAGATCTTAAATCTCCAACCATTAAAACTTCACTCGAGACGCTCTGTTTTTCTCCACAGCCAGTTGTAAAAGGACGAAATATCGAGGCGGTGCGGAGTGACTCCGAGGCTGCGCTCCGCTCGCACTCGAGAGGCCTAATCCCGCTCTCCGCTGAGGAGAGCGAGGTATTGGCTTTGATGAAAGAAATGGATTAAGCAGATTACATTAAAGGCCAGTTTAATTGAACCGATCTATCCTGATTCTGCGGCTGCGAGATAAATGATGAGGAGGCCTGATAGAATACACTGTATAGGTCGTGGGGGGGGGGGGGGGGGGGGGGAGGGGTTCTCATTTACACGCTCGCTTTATTCATGTAGAAAAAGCCTCTGTTGTATTTAAGGAAGTACAGGAAGTATTCCGACAAAATATCTCTGCATGTCCGTACTTTTTTTATTTCTGCACTATCCAAATTAATTTCCGCCGAGATAAATCAAACTCCAAACAATTTATGCTACATGTGATAAACACATTTTATCGACTCGTTCACAACAACAGGAACACGTGGGGGACGTTCAGGCGAGGGGCGGAGCCTGTAGAGCAGCAGGAGGCGGGACACGGCGTCTAAACTCTGCCGTGTAAAGATCAGTGTTGTTGTTTGCATCTCGTCCACACCGGCGTCGGCCCTCATCACCAAAACATCTGGAACCTCCTCGTCTTTCCAMGTGGACGTCTTCGTCTTCTACGTGTACGGCTCCTCCTCTTCATCCTGAGAGATCACATGTTAGGAACGTCATCAACACGTCCGCTCGCTCACTGTGATGGTTCCTGCTACTGACTCGGACGTTTGCGTTCTCACATCCCGCCCCTCTGGAGAATCTGTGGACTTCTGGACTTGGTGGTTGAAATCCCTTAAGGAGTGAAAAAGGAAGAAATATCCACGAGCTTTAACAAGTTGTTTTTCATGCTTCAAGTGGATTTTGAAATCTTAGCTCAGCAGAAGAGGTTCATAGGTGAAGCATGAACACGCCAGCAGGACCCTGACAGTGCTGCTAACGCTGTTATTAGTATTTCACTGGAGATTTTTAATGTTGGTCCAAAGTCTTTTTCTAATCACATAAAAATAAAATTCAAGGAGAAACTGAAAACATGATAATTTATGGCAGAGAAGATAAAATATCCCGACTGT